AAAAAAAATACCAACTTTTAATACATTTTGTTGCGCGTAACGCCACGAACTGTGCAGAAAAGTGAAGGGGAATTTTTATTCTCTTCCAATATAATGCTTTTTTGATGAATTTCGGAATGCTTGTAGCGGTTAAACTTGTACTCTCATTCGGATTTAAACGCTTTGCCTGATTTACGTCACTATAATCTTTGAAAAAAAAAATTATAAAAATAAAAAACATGAACAACAAGTATTTGTGTAGCACAGCTTTGTTATCGCCATTCGTTACCAACTCTACCAAACTCAACAAAACTACCAACATGAGGATGTTAAGACCTATGATGCAAATTAATGAGACCTTGTTATAGTTCCAGAGAAAAAGAAAATTTTTATAAATTAATTTCTCGAAAAAAAACAACTATTTTTACTTTTCGTGCAAATCACTTTCTATAAAAGACATTGACGTTTCCTGACGAAAAATGTAGAGAAGTAGCACAGTTAGCGCAAAGGGGGTATGGAGGTCACCAATATCCCTATTTTGCCTTCAATATTATGGGGAGGCCATAAAACATGTACTCTCAAACGAAATTTCTGAGTCGCCCTCTTGAAAAACATACGCAAATTATAGAAAAGTTCTTCATTTTTTATCCATCCCAATGAAGGCATAGAGCAAATCAGATTTTCAAGAAAATGGGCAAATGTTATCGAAAACTCTGGTTGGTTATTTGCCTATACATTTGTCCAAATGACTAGGCGTTTATGCAAAAGCCTAGGCATTTGACTACATGCCAAAGACCTGTTTTATCAATAGGCAAATAGATTAAATTTTGCAAAAAGGAACCACTATCTCTGCCTCTCTCATAAAAGCACATATCTGTGTAGGGAAACCAGCTATGGAACGCATTTTGTTTCTAAAATGGGTCAGAAATCGTGGTTCCTTATTGCATAATGTAATCCAAATGGTGTCCTTCATAAATATTATGTCTGTTTAAGTTTAAGTTAAACAATAATGGACAACGTGAACATTTCTTTGAGAAAACATCATTTTCCTACGGCACACGCAGAAAATACCGCCGGTTACTAGTGTATTGTCTACGAACGCGTAAAAGAACGCTTCATACTGCATACAATCGATCTATCGCATCCTCGATGTATCGAATACCCCGATAAGCGACGACGGGTGGCTTTCGGCTGGGTATTATTCTTAGAGGAGGGGGAAGGGGGGGCTGGAGGACGAAGAATAAGTAGTAAATTACTTTATGACAGCCAGACTCAGATATTGACTTCTTGCGCTACCCGGCCTCGATGGAATGTCGACGATGATGCGGTGTTTCTTATGACTCGGCCTCTTACGACCTACAGTGGATCGAGTCGATGGCGGGCTCGGACTAAATTTGGAAACTTTGAAAGCTCATAACTCCGTTCATATAAAACTCTGAGCTTTTTAAAGTGGGTCTATTGGTTTCCTCGTGAAATTTCCTTTAAGGAGAGCCAGCCACTTGAAAATTGAAAATTTTTTTTTTTTTTTTTTACTTTCTGGCTAATTTTAATCTCCTGCTCATCACGTTTAATTTCAGACCAAGTTTTACTTGATCTGATGAGTAGTTTTGAAGTTACGCGCGGTTTAGTGAGGGAAGGTTTACTAAATACGCTACTAATCACACTTAAACTGATTTTGCTGTTTTTTTAATTTCTCATTTCCCGAAAACTACATTTTTCAGCACTCATGTACCTTTTTCTCAGGATCTACTGAACCGATTATCAAAAACTTTGTTCTGTCCTAATCCTGGCACTCCCCTGCACATTTTAACACGAGCTTTTCCAAAATTTCGGGCTGGATTTTTTTTAATTTGATTTCAAATGTCCAAATTCTTTGCTTTCTAACAAAAAAATTTCAAAAATTCACCAAAATTTCAAATTTTTAAATTTTGAAAAAAGCCCGTGTTAAAATGTTCAGGAGGGTTCAAAGTTCAAAACAAAAAAAAGAGAAGTAATTTTTGTTCAGTAGATCCTGAGAAAAAGGTACAAACGTTAACATTGGGAAGATAGGGTGTCTGGCTCCCCTTACAGAGGCACCCCATAAAACTTCAAAATTTGGCGGATTAAACATCAAATTTGCAGTTTAGTTGGAGAATTCATGTCCGACCTCTCTAATTGACTCGATCCACTGTGCGACCGACCATTTACAGGTAAAAAACTTGCGTTGTGCTGTGACTCGTCGCTGGTTCATTGAGTGCCATGTGGTAAATGCACCGGGCCTCGAGGGCAGTGGCGTGGCGTGAATTGCGATATATCGATTGTTATGCCATTTAAACCTATGTAAAAGGATCGATAAACAGGGTGTTCGCAGCGAACACCTTAATAATCGATTCTTTACCATACGTTTAAATGGCATAACGATCGATATATCGCAATTCACGCCACGCCACTGCTCGAGGGGGCTCCCGGTAAAACAATGGGTGAGCTAACAGCCGGTCTCGGTAAATATATTTTTAACAGTGGATCTATTTTAACATTTTCTGCAGCGAAAAAAGGGTTTTCAAGTCTCACGTGCTTTCCTTGCCGTATTTACAATGGTATTTTTGTGGTAATAATACTTATTTATATAATTGATTTACTCAGCCTGGTACTGGTATTCATTAGACATCAAAAAAATTTCACTCTAGTTGCCTTTGGTGTACTCGCGGAACGGTGTGGACCCAACACTATTTCACCACCTTGTTGTAATTGTGTTATCTTGATAAAAATGTTATATTGTCACTGGGACCAAAATAAATTTTATACCGCAAAAGTGATAATGTAATTGCGACCAGAAAAGTAGGTATAACTGGAATCCACAATTGAATCAGTGGGAACGAAAACACACCAACTCGGTAACTCTAAGATCCTCAATTTTCACGAAGGACATCAGTCAATTTTCATGAAGGTCATTGAAGTTAGCGAATCTGTTCCAACTTGGACCTTAAAAGAGTCCTTAAGTACTTGTCTTCCGGCACCAAAAATTTTCTTCTTGGACTTGCTTCTTCACCTACTGTGCAGTTTTGTGTGTGTCCTCATTATTTTCATTTTTTCGAGTTGGTGTATTTTCGTTCTCTCTGATTCAATTATAGATGAGCAACAGCAGCGTGGCGTGCTTGGCGATGTATCGATTGTTCTGTCATTTAAACCTATCAAAAGGATCTTTAAATAGGGTGTTCTTCCATAGCTTCAAATGAGAGGCTCGGAAGACAAGGCGCATAAGTGCAATTTTTGCTATTATTACTTAAAATATGTGTTTGAAGTTTCGTAACCCTGGTAAAAATTGGCAGTAGAATCTGTGTTCCAAAATACCATAGACCTACGACCGGCTGTAAGATCTCCAATAGCTTCTATAGCCGGCTACACAATTTCTTATAGCCTTTTACAGCCGATGGCGATTGAGCAGCTCACAGCCAGGCGATAAAGTGTATGCTAAACGTCACCAATTACGGATGCTAGGATTTGGTGAGTTTTTAGACCACTGCTCTTTTTTAGGGCCGTAGTGTCTTGATTTATTTTGCGAGGAAAGTTCCGTACTTTTGATGGATGCCTGCCATTCTTAATATATTAGAGCGCCTTCAGTTTCGTATGATACTGTGCAATCTCTGGTGTGAAATAGTTGCTTCAAGCGCCGTGGCACTCTGCGGTGCGGCAGGCGGGCAGCCAGCGCGGAACGCGCATTGGCGCCTACAAACCTAACAGGGATACTTCACGCGTTGCGCAATGCGTGAAGTATCCCTGTTAGGTTTGTAGGCGCCAGTGCGTCGCCACTCCGCTTTGTGTTAGGCTCTAATATTTAATCTGGCGGAGTCAGCGTTATTCAACTCATGATTTTGAAATGTTTGCACATCCTGTATGGATTATTTTCATTTTAATTGATGAAAAAAAATATGTATCAAAGGAAAATATAATGTGTGTTTTGTAAATATTAAGGTGGTTCCGTATCAAACTTAATGATTTCCAAAGCACACGAATTTCTACACAATTTCTTATAGCCTTTTATAATCGATGGCGAAAAAGCAACAGCCAGGCGATAAAGTGTAAAGCCCGGCTATAGGAACTATAGCCCGGCTGCATAATTTTTTATCTCTTCGTATAGCCCGGCCGTATGATTTTCTCCGCATTCTACAGCCAGCTATATGATTTTCTGTAGCCTTCTCTAGCCGGCTATAAGAATTCCTATGGTATTTTGAAACGCAGCTCTTATCGCCAATTTTTACCAGGGATTCACGTAGAATCCTGATGGCAGAAAGAAATTTCAAACTGGCTTTTTAATGCTTGAAAACTTGGAATTTGGGAACGAATTGTTCGCAGAATATGCATTAAGTCTAGTTTCACGTGAAATCATTAATATCTCAATTTTTCAAAAAACTGCACTTATGTGTCTTTTCTCCAAACCCCTCAAATGGAGAAGTATCGATAATCGATCATTCACACCTCGCCACTGATGAGCAATGTATAGGATTCTTCTATTCTTGTGCATGATTAGTTTGTTCGAGCTAGCCATTTTTCACGTAAAAAATTACGAAACTTTGGTGGTAGTCTCCACCAACGTCCCTGCTGTCAATTTTTACCATCCCGTATCTTGATAAGCATGTATGGTTGAAGATTTTCTATCACAATTCAAATGCTAGAAGAACGAACAATCCTTGTGAATCAAACGATCTAGAAAACTAGGTCTCGAACTTTAATATGTAATAACGTAATTCCAGGTGTGGGCTTACACAAACTTTCAGAGACGCACTTCAAGGCTGCATAGCAATTTCTATAATAACTCTCATCACAATTAGTGAGACCTCAGCATTTTTGTTGTTCCCTCAGAATGGAGTACCTTCATTTTAATTATTGAAAAAAGACCGTGAAAGAATCTGACTTGATCTCCGCAAATTTTAGCATTTAACTCCATTTAAGTTGATGTTTGTATTTGCTCTAATACATCCTGATAAGAACATTTTTGCGTATTTAATCTCTGTGATAATCAATTGTCACCTTACTTCAGACTGTAAGTAACTCATAAGAAAGTGACGAACACTTTCGAGTTGCCGGTGGATATTAAAGAGTATATTTTGAATTTAGTGAGAGTGGTATAGGTACAGCACGGGTCAAGTTAATATTTAAAAGTCTGCAAAATGATTTTTGCAGCGATACAATCTGCTGCTGCGTCTGCTCTTGCCAGTGTTGCAGCATGGGTGAGTACAACGCACTGATACGTGATGTTATTCACTGGTCAACAAAACAAACTTTTTTTTTGCCTTAAAATTGCTAACTCTGCATCGGCAGATTTTTAGCGTTGAGTCGGAAAATGACCTTTGATGTGTTGAGTCAGGTCGTTTTCCCCCGAGAAAATCGGAATTTTCCCTAAAAATCTATCTTTTCTAGAAAAAAGTCAATTTTCCGGATAATTTTCGGTGTTTAGGGGAAATCGAAATGACCCAGCAAAACGGAGGTCAATTACGAACTCAATTTTTATTATTACCGATTTTATACTCATACTAAGTTTGCCCACTACCAAAGGGCCGATTTGCAAAATTTCAAAGTTATTTTGAAAGCTATTATGAACAATTTGAGTTTCGGAATTAGTAGTTTTTACTGCATTAAAAGCCGTGCATAACGACATTCCATAAACTTTTTACGGGTCCAAGAATTTCTACACCGAATTACGATTATCACACACATTTTATGAGGACAGTTATTCTAGATGAGCCTTATACTTTGTTCACAGGCAGTGCCGGTCCAAAGCAGTCCAACAGCTGCAACGGAAAGCGTTAATCGGCTGTTGAATGAGCTGAAACTCTTGGAAATGGATCGGCAGAAAGAATTAAATAAGGCCCTTGGAAACCAAAAGTTTATGAGATATTATCTCATGACCGAGTTCCTATCCGTCTTATCGTTTGTGGACTCCCTTTTTATGGAATATCGCAGTTACTATGAAGCAGTGAATTCATTGATCCATTCCAATGAGGAATCCGAAGCTTCTCGAAAGGTAAAATTTTTACTCAAAGTATATGTGGAATTCTATTGCTAAGAGCAAAAATTTAATTTTACCAAGAAGATACATCTTGCTTAGTCCTGCGTTTTCTTCAGACCGCTAACTTGAGATCATCATAATTCAGGAGCATTTTTCCCCACACTTTTCGACATTTTTGTCACTGTATGCTCTAACAATGCCTCTCAAGAATCCGACCAAACAGTCCCGCTGTATTGAGCTTTTGTCAACAATAAGTTTCAAGTTTGGTGGTCAAAAATTTGTTCTACAAGAATACGTATAATGCGTATCGTGGGACATGAATACAAAATTCAATTTGTACCTACAAAAATAAAACTCCAGTCTAAGAACTCTGAACAAAATTCACCTTTTTTAAGGTTGTTACTAGCTCATTCGGATATCTACATAGTGTTGAGTTTTTATATTTTATTTGCGATTTTGGATTTTTTGCTTTTAAAATTACAACTTTGTTGATGTTGGTTTTAGAGGGAATGGGGGAGTGACAACGCTCGGAAGAGCTCTTGGCGGATAGGGTGCTTTGGCGGCTGGGAGTCACAGAGCGTCAAAGAGCGCTATTCTATGTATATAAATTATAACTTTGTTACAGGCCATAGAGATCATCAAACGGTCTACGCAGCTGGCAATTCAACTCAATGAATTCATAAGGACGAATGGTGAAAAGCTCTCCCCACCCAAATTGAACGTGACCGGTCAAACGGACCACTTGCAAGCTTTATTTAAAAGCTCTCTCGAGAAAAACGAAGAAATCGAGGCACAATTGCGCCCTAAATTCTCCGGATCTTCGCTCACAAAACATTTGAAGGATGTGCCGCATCTGCCGGAAGGAGGAGGTGGAAATAATAACGATGTAGGGAAGATTATAAAATCACATTTTTGCTGTTCAAAAAATAAATAAATATTTATGAAAGATTACCCAATTGCATTAAATAAAAAGTTAAAACTAGCCTCCAAGCTGTAAAAAACCTAAAATTATTTTTAGTAGCTACCTACATACGAATAGCAAATCATTTGTTGGATATGCCGTGTAAAGACACTTGGTACATTAATAGATCTATGCCTTGAAACTGATTGTGAGTGACCTTGCACTTCTCAATGATTGCTGTTTATACTATACGTATATAAAAAATATATACAAAATATATTTTTTTTTTCAAATTCATTCTTAATATAAATTTTAAAACTCATTTTCTGGAGTCTTGCAGCCAGTAGTTGCTTTGAAGCTATTAAATCTCATATACTACTACCACTTACTTTAGTAGTATACTTACTTACACTTACTTTTTTATAAATCTGCCAAATCAACTTCATCTAATTTTACATACCTCTAGCATGCTACAGACAATCCGCTATCTTAATTCTTCAATGTTCAAATTCTGTAATTTCAATGCTGAACTGAAGACTGGTGATCTCCTGCCGCACTCTATAAGTACGTAAGCTTATTTGGCGAGGGACTCTATATCTCCAAAAAAATATTCCACATCGTGTTGTAGTTAAGTTCAACAAAAAATAGCGGACATGAATTTCTGACCGTGCTCGCAGTCGTGATTTTTTGGTACACTCTGTTTTCCTAGGCATTCTTATTCTAATATTTTCGGAAAAGTATTTTGTATCTTGTCGCGATCATACGAAAAGTTCGTAAAGTGTATATTGTTTAACTGTCACATACAGTCTAATGCAGTTAACACACACATACTGTCACATACTGTCGTACACTGAAAAAAGTGCCTTGTCCGAGGAACAAAGATTCTAGTCCCCCAGACAAGACCGTCTTGTTATATTTGATCCACAAGGCATTCTAGTTCATGGGACCCATACAGTCTTGTTCAGGGAACAAGACTTCCTTGTTGTATAAGTCAAAAGTCTAGTCACGGTGACAAAATTGTCTAGTTCTGGGAACAAGACTTGTCTTGTCACAGTATTCGGAAGAACTTAAAATTGCAAAAAAAATGTCACAAATTTATATGAATTGCACGATTTATACAAAAATATACTTGTTCTCTACTTCCTACACTCCTCTTACACCAGATTCGTCTCATCCGACCTTCCAAATTTTACCGACCTGATCGGGATTTGAACGCGGGACCATCTGATTACGGACCGAGTGTTCTACTGTCCGAGCTATCCGGGCTAGTTATTTGTAGAGCCGAATTTTAAATATAAGTACAGCCCACAGAATTACTTTTTCATTTTGTTGCTATCTCAAGTCTGTGGAATGCGTAAAGCATCAGATTGTTTGGTTTTCTTTCCTTTTTACCATTTACCGTTTACGAAAAGGAATTTACACTCTACATCAGATAAAAATGGACAATTAAGGCCGAAAAAATGTGTTTCTTCAAGCAACGATGTTTTCTTTGTTCCATGTTTATGATACTAATTTTTATTTTTATTTTATATCATGATAATAATTAATAATATATAGATAAATCAAACGTTAAAAAATAATTATATAATTAGGTACATTTGATTTTAAAACCTTACGCATGAGCGATTTATTTTTAAAAAAGAATCATAAACTTATTGTTTTTACCTTGTCATTAAACATCCAGAAACATTTTCGGGGAACAATTATTAAGCGTAGTTCTTAGAATACTCTTTCAAAATATATAAAATAATACGCTCTCTTTGAATTTGACCATTACTCGCGGTGAGTAGAGAATCTCGTCACAGTGACAAGACTATCGAGTCCGGTGGCTCAGAAACCTAGCATATGAAACAAGACTGGTCTTGTTGCATTAACAAACGGGTGTTGTTTCCCAAACAAACTGAGTTGTTTGGCAGACTAAAAGTCTTGTTCCTGAGACAAGGCAGGTTTAACAAGTTTATCTTGTCTCTACGGCTCTATTATTTTTTTCAGTGTATACAGTTAATTTTTGGGATTGCTCCTTAGTTCAAACGTGTAAGTTTTCTCATCTTTTTATCAGCCAGATAATCGAGAACCGACTCAATGAAAACTGGGACTAACTGATAAGGATGTAATGCACGCCCATCATTTGAATAATGTAAGTTCAATAGGAGTGCCTAAAACCCTAGTGTGTAGAACACAATTCTGTGACCAGCGCAACTGACCCATATTGCGACCAGAAAAGTAGGTACAACAGACTGGAACCCACTATGAGCTACAATGGCGCAGCGTAATTTGCGATATAACGATTGATCTGTCATCGAAACCTATGGAAAAGGATCGATAGACAGACAGGCTGTTCGCAAAGAATACCTTAATTATAAATTCTTTACCATAGCTTCGAATCAGGGGCTAGGAGGACAAGTCGCATAAGTGCGGTAATTGATATTTAGAGAGATGCGTGTTTGGAGTTTCGAAATTACATGGCTCTTCATGGTGGAAATAAGTTCAAACCGACTTTCTGATGCTTAAACATTGGAATTTGCAAGCGAATTTTTCACAAATTATGCATTACGACTAGTTTTACTTGAAATCATTAATATCTCAACTTTACTAAAAAGTGCACTTATGCGCCTTGTCCTCCAAACCCCCCCCCCCCAAATGGGGAAGTATCGCTAATGTATTCGATCATTCACGCCTCGCAACTGATGAGCAATGTGTAGGGTCCTTCTATTCTTGTCAGAGACAAGAAACCGTCCACTAGTATCTTGGCCATGGTGGAAGCTTTTACTTTCGGGACTTCAGCATTCTACTGTTGACTTACCTACATGGTTGATGTTTAACAACGTGTTGGCAGTTTCGTTTTGCAAACAAGCCGAAAATGGCCGAAGTTTGGGAAAATTATTTGCTTCATGACGTTACCCGAAGCTCATCATCCGCCATGTAGGTAGGTCACCGGCCGAAATTAGGATGATGACTATTGCTCCCTTATCATTTTCCATAAGGAACTGTTGAATTCTCGAAAGTAAAAGCTTCCACCTGTCGCTAAGAGGCCAGTGGGGGGTCTCTTGTCTCTGATTCTTGTGCATGATTTGTTTCCTCGAGGCTATCCATTTTTCTCGTAGAAAATTACAGAACTTGGGAAATTAGACTCTACCAACGTCCCAGCTATGAATTTTTATGACCACGTATCTTGATGTGCACGTGTGGTTGTAGATTTCCTGTTACAATCTAAAATGTTAAAAGGACGCCTTTTGTAACAAAAAAAAGAATGTAGAAAACCAGGAGTCAAAGTTTATTAAATACATAGTTTCTTGTGAGGGCTTGTAAAAACTTTTAAAAGCACCGGTATGCATAGGAATTCCTGGTAATTCTCACAGCTAATGACACTTTAACACTTCTTGCTCACCCAAACCCTGAGTACTTATAATTTAATTTTTGAAAAAAAGACCGTAAAATGACCACACACTCTCTCCGCAAATTGTAGCGTCAATCTCCCTTCAAGGTGATTTTTGCATTTGGTCTAAAATATCCTGATAAACATTTTTGGCGGTGCTAGGTCATTTTTCCTAAAATTTTTTTTTCCTACATCAGGTTTTCCTAATACTTTTTTCCTACTCGTTTTTTGTCCCATTACAGTAAGTCCTACGAGTGAGATGTCCCACTGGCTTTTTTCCTAAGGGTGTTTGTCCTAATAATCCAATAATATTTGAAACGTAAACATGAGTAGAGTAGAGGGAAATTTTTCAGAAAGAGTAAAGTTTTCTCAGCGAGCCGAATATAAGCGCGTGAACAGGAGACATCACAAGCTGAGCCTTCTATACCCTCAATATAAGGAGGAGGATGAAGCTCCACTACTTACGGGCATGCTGCCACAACTTTAACTTGTGAGGTACCTATGTTGTTTTTTTACTTCCTCGATCCCCTAGTTTTAAAATTGAATTTAGGACAAATGCCCCCAGGAAAAAAGCCAGTAGGACATCTCACTCGTAGGACTAACTGTGATGGGACAAAAAACGAGTAGGAAAAAAGTATCAGGAAAAATTGCAGTAGAAAAAAATGTTTTAGAAAAAATGACTACCCACCATTTTTGGCGCATTTTATCAATGTGATAATCAAAGGTCACCCTATTCCGAACTGTAAGTAGCTGATATAAAAGTGACTTGCACTCACGAGTTACCGGTGGATATTGAGGAGTATAATTTGAATTCAGTAAAAGTGGTGGCACAGATCAAGTCAACATTTAAAAATCAGCAAGATGATTTTTGCAGCGATACAATCTGCAGCGTCTGCTCTTGCCAGTGTTGCAGCATGGGTGAGTAAAATACACTGACACGTGATATTAGCAATTATAATTACATAGTTATAATCGCTCTGAAAAATGTGGCAAATTGATTCTGCAAAATTTGTGCAGTAAATCAGTGACGTGGGCGTGCTTCACGATATATCGATTGATCTGCCAGTTAAACCGATGAAAAAGATCGATAAACACGGTGTTTGCAACGAAAACCTTTCCCATCGGTCCTTTACCACAACTTCAAGGAGAGATATCATTAATTGATCATTCACGCCTCGCCACTGGATTTTATACATCGATATTGAAACTTCCGTTGCAGATTTCTTATACTTCATTTTTTACATGGAGAACCACTCAACGACAATTCTTAAAAATGTCCTTAAATTTTCTACTCCGTATGAATCAAATTCGGAGAAAATTTCAAGGAATGATGTTGATTTGTTCCACTTTAAGAAAATATAAAAGATTTTAGATTTTTATCAGTCAGTCGCCCTCGAAGCTATGCATGATATAAACAGGCGCGTTTCATGCTTAAATTGGATTGCATTTTGCAAAAAGGAACCAAAAGTATTACAATGTTGCTAAGATTGTGCACCTTCTTTTGTCTTGAAAGAAAAACCTGGTTATCCACTAACAGTATCTATTTTACTCGCTAAAAACTGTAAATTTAAGACAAAATTACAATGTAAATCTCATATTTTTCCATGGTTCGGTAATTTTATTGCAAAGGATGAAAATGCACAATTTTAGCATCATCGTAATTCTTCTGGTTCCTTTTTGCAAAATGCAATCCAATTGTTTATTTAGTTTAAATGATCAAATCCGTTATATTCAAATGGTTAGCGTCTTTGAGGAGAAAAAAAAACCTTTCAGAGCACTTTCCCTCTAGATAAGCTGAATTATTTTGTTCACAGGCAGTGCCGGGCGAAAGCAGTTCAACAGCTGCGACAGAAAGCTTACATCGTCTGTTGAACGAGTTGAAACTTTTAGAAAAGGATCGGCAGAAAGAACTAAATAAGGCCCTCGGAAACCAAGAATTCATGAGACACAAACCTATGATTGAATTTTTATCCATTCTATCGTTTGTGAACTGGCTTTTTATGGAATATCTCTGTTACTATGATGCAGTGAATACATTGATCCACTCCGATGAAGGATCGGAGGCTTCAAGGAAGGTAATATTTTTGCCCAAAGTGAAACTTTATTGCTCGAAGGAAAATTTTATTTCGACCAAAAAGATTATTGATTATTATTTTGACCTCCATACATACAAGTCACTTTTGCAGCGCGTCCGAGCGCTCTGCGACACCTAATCACCATTCTTGTCTATCGACCTAGAGATCATCTAGTAAATGGCATCTTGTGATTTCATCTTGAATGCCACCCATCCACGATTTTGCTGGACGTCCTCTACGTCTCCTCCCAAGAGGAACCCAATCTAGTACCTTCTTAGGCCTTGTCTCCACGAGCCGTTTCACGAGATTTGTCCCAGGGAAAAATCCCACTTACGAAGTTGGAAAAAATATTGAGTTAATCAATATTTTTCCCAGTACCAAGTATGGTACTTGTACCCCTAGGATCCACTGAGAGAAGAAGAAGAAGTGAAAACGAATCGTGCGATATTTTATTCATGTCTACATTGTTAATGTTTGTTTAGTTAAAAAATGTGTCTAATTGTCAATTGAGTGCAATTATTATTTTAATCCCGGTTAAATACTCGACTTTAACTAATTTATCTTCCCGCGTAAACTAGTCGCAGGACTGTATGAGCCCCGTCCCGTGGAGACCGGTAACTGGGAAAAATCCCAGAAGTTTCATTCCTGCGATTCGAACTTGGGACAAATCCCATGAAAACGTCCCGTGGAGACAAGGCCTTAGGCAATCCGTCATCCGCCATTCGTTGACCATGACCATACTAGACAAGCTGTTTGATCATAATTTCATGCACGATGTTCTGCTCGGCATTCATGATCTCACGCACTCTTTCGTTTCTTGCATGATCTGATCCCCTCTCGAGACTCTAGCTGATCTTCGCCAGAAATCCATGTCAGTTAGCCTTAAGGGGAGCCAGACAATTGAAAATTGAAAAAAAAAAGTTTTTTTTTT